AATCACAGCGGGTAATATTTGGTTTTAATTCGGTTTTTATCGGGGTTTATTTTTGTATTTTTTGTATTTCTGTATTTTATTTTTTGTATTTTGTATTTTGTGTATATTATTTGTTTTTAATATGCTGTGAACCGCCCTGAGTCCTACGGGAGTAGGGCGGTATACAAATTAAATTATCAATCAATTATCAATCAATCAAAGTCCCCTGTCAGGTAATGAAGCCCTGAAGGAGACCAAGTGGGGGTGGATGAGAAAGACCCAGAATTCCTCTTTCTAGACACCATTAAAAATCTACCCCTCCTCCTTATTCTGGGGGGAGGGAAAGAGGGAGGGAGAGAGGGAGAGTGAGTCAGCAGGGAAGCGCAAGTGTCTCTGTTTCTGTCTCTCTCTCTGTCTCTCTCTCTGTGTCACACAGACACAAACACACAAATACACAGGGTGAGGGAAGAGGACTGGCAATCCGCCCGGTGGAGAACAAAGAATGTCCTCAGTTGCGGAGGGGTGCCTGAAATGCAGCGGGTGTCTTAAAGGCAGCCCTGTTCATTTTCCCTCCTCCTCTCTATCTCCGCCCGTTGCCCTGAATCTGCCCAAGGCCACCCTCCAATCAGCTCCCTCCTGATGAGAAAAAATTCGAGAGGACAGCAAGGGAGGGGGGCTTATTCTGGGTCGGTGGTCTCCCCGTTGGAAAGGGTCTTTTCCCAATAGCACTGAGGGAGGAGCTGGAGATGCCGACCACTCTAATTCTGTCCCTCACCCTCTTCTCCTTCCAGGCTCCTTCAGACACTCCCTCTGCTATTCCTGCCGGAAGGTGTCGGAGCCCAGTCAGCGGCTGCCCCTGTTCCTCTCCTTGGTCCACCTGGATGACCAGCCCATTGCTCGCAATGGCGGCCTCACCAGCATGGTGGTCCCCCTGGTACCCTGGATGGAGGTGGAGGAGGCAAAGATCTTTGTGGGCCTGGAGAGGCGGTTCAGGACTCGCCTGGAGTGGCTATCAAAATTCAGCCACCAGATTGGAGGTGAGCGGAGGCCTTCAAGAATCCCTGAATTCTCCCTCAAGTCTCACTTTTCGACTTTTGTCATTTTAATTACCCAAAGAAGAGGGGAAGCACACAAAGAATAGAAGGTGGGTGGGTGGAGGTTAGGTGGATGAGATGAGCCCCATTCCAGGACCACAAAGGCTGCAAGGGGTATAATGGTGAGAGATCCTTTCCTGTAAAGGAGAGAAAACACCCTTCCCCCCTCCAAGATCTCATTTGTGGTCTTCATGACATCTTTCCTATTACCTTCTCCTATTGTATCTTGTGATTCTATTACTTTCTTGTTTGGATGTACACTGAGAGCTTAAGACCCAGAGACAAATTTCTTGTGTGTCCAATTACACTTGGACAATAATGATTCTATTCTATTCTATTCTATTCTATTCTATTCTATTCTATTCTATTCTATTCTATTCTATTCTATTCTATTCTTATTCCATTCCATATTCTATTCTGTTCTGTTCCATACTCCATGTTCCATGTTCCATGTTCCATTCAATTCTATAAGAGTCCCCTCTTCACATTTGATTGCCAATATATTTTAGCTTCAGCTGGCAGGAGGGGAGGGAAGCAAACACTTGAAGAGTAGCTGGTCGGGTGTCTAGGAGAGAAGAATGGGCTATTTCATGCCATCTGGATCTTTTTCAGGGCTTCACACCTGGCAGGTGATTTGGGGCTGTGAACTCAGGGAAGACGGGAGGAAAGGAGGGTTTTTGCGCTACGGCTACGATGGGATGGACTTCATCAGCTTCGACAAGGAGACCCTCAGATGGGTGGCAGCTCAGCCCCAGGCCAAGAAGGTCAAGGAGGAGTGGGAAGATCATCCAAGATGGTCCCAGAGAAACAAAGTCTTCCTGGAGGAGACCTGCATTGACATGATGCAGAAATGCCTGTCTTTCCAGAAGGAATCTCCAAAGAAGACAGGTGAGTGATCAAATGGGTCCCTGTTGTGCAGTTTTTTTCTAGGCTCCCTCTTCTTCCTCTCCCCCAATTTTTCTGCCCTTCACATGCCTGGCGGGGAGAGATCTGGGCATTTACCAAAACAAGCTACAGAAGGACTGCAGGGAAAATAATCTCCAGTGACACACAAACACACACACACCCAATAAGTTCTTCGAAGGTAAAGAAAAGGAAATCAGTGGAGCAAGATATTAAGGCTGAGATCAAGTTCCATTTTCATGAGGAAATTTAATTCTTACATCCTGCATTGGGGGAAGAACCAAAAGATAATTCTCTTCTTCATTTCCATCTGGCACAACTTGAACAAGTTCAGTTTAGGACAGTGATGCCGAATCTTTTAGAGACCGAGTGCCCCAAAACCACCACCCCATCCCCGTCCCCACTTCGCCCTGCCCGCTGGGCCACCCACCACATCCACGGCCTGCCACAGATCACCCAGGCAGCCCAGCAGCGCCATGGTGGCCATGCCGTCCACCCGTGCCCCACAGCATCATCTGCGCACGATGGGGTGCAAGGGTGGAGTCTTGCCCCCGCTGCCCGGCTACCATGTCCATGGCTGCACTGCTTCACGTGGGCTGTGCCCAGGGGCGACTCTCCTCCGGGGCAGGGCTGCTGGTGAGGAGGGGGCTGTGGGAGGAGGCGGGGATAGGGTGATGGTTCATGTGCCCACAGAGAGGGCTCTTAGTGCCGCCTCTGGCACGCATGCCATAGGTTCGCCACCACTGGTTTAGGAAGTAAAAACTGAATTAAACCCCAAGCGTTACAAGTGTTTGGGTCAGAGTGGGCACTCTACCCCAAAATCCCTGTGTCCGTTTCAAAAGGAAATCTAAATAGAGCTTAATGCCCCCGTCTTTTAGGGTCCCACAGGTTCAGCAGTGGAGAGGGAGCAGAGGGAGAGGATGACCAAATGAGGACCTCCTCACTATTAAACTACCTTGACACAAGTGCCAAAAAATTCCTGGGAATTGTGTTGTTGCTGTTTCTGCAGAGCCCCTGGTGGGGAAAGTGACCCGCAAGATGGTGGATGACAGCCTGGAGGTCCTTATCTGCCAGGCCTTTGGCTTCTACCCCAAAGAGATCCAGGCCACCTGGAGGAAGGACGGAAAGGTCTACAAGGACAAGATCCTCCATAGGAACGTGGCCCCCAACTCAGACGGGACCTTTTATGTCTGGCTCAGCATTGAGATCGACCCCAAGGAGAGGGACCGTTTTTGGTGTCACCTGGAGCACGAAGGCTTGCAGGGGCCCCTGGTCTTGGCTCTCAAGGAGGAAACAGGTGAGAGGCTGAGGGGTTGTGGCCTGTATAGAGGATGTAGATTTTTTTCCCCTCAGTACGGGGGAAATGTGGGGAGGAGGCAGCGTTCTGCTGCGTCACTTCAAGTTCTCAGGGGGAGAGCAGGAAATAGAGCCCTAAATTTCATCCTGGGAGAGAAGCAATTTCTGACAGGGGAGTTGGAAGTGGGAAGGTGAGAGCAAAAGTGAGGTATGATATGTCATATATGATATATACATGGAGATATAGATATGGAGTGAAGCTGAAACACAGTTTTCCTTTCTGACACAATGATCTGATGGGACACGTTATTCAGCAGGAGAGGCTGGGCTTTTCTTAGCCGAACAAGAAAGAAATCAATGTCGGCTCCTTCAGAACTCCTCTTTTTACCAAAGTATAATGACAGAATCTTGCCATCTGGACATGTTTTCTCCTCCCTCCATTGATCCTCAGGTGATCTAGAGGTGGGCCTGTTTGAGGCATGTAGTTGAACTGTCCCAAAGGTGTGTTTTTTTCAGGAGGCAACTGGACTTTCTTGTGTGGTTTTTTTTGAAGACCTTTTGCTTCTCATCCAAGAAGCTTCTTCAGCTCTGACTGAATGGTGGGGAATGGAAGGATTTATATTCCTTGAACACAGCTGGTCATTTGCCTTCTTTTAGAGAGTCGTTGAGGCCACTTGGAGGTTTACCTGTGTCTTCAAGGTCACTTGAGCAGTGGAAATGTCTGTGGAGCCTTCTTGGCTGCAGGATGTTTTCTGCCCTGGGTCCCTTAACTGTTGAAGACAGGTGCAGGCTGTTGTGGCTGAGTCTGTGTTGTCTGCACCTCAAACTGAAGTGCAAATGGTTCCTGTAGTCTGCAATGTTTTCTGGAAATCTGTTCATCTTCCCGCACCATTTGAAGGGTGTTTCCACGAAAATAAGACCTGGTCTTATTTTTTTTTTTGCTTCCAAAAGAGGCACCAGGTCTTATTTTTGAGAGGTGTCTTTTCCACTGACCTCCGGCACTGACACCCCACTTCTTCTGTGCCCAGCTGGCCCACTTCTTCTGCGTCATCTGTAGCTTAGTTCTCGGCTGCAGAGGCCTTGCGGAAAGGCCTCTGACTGCGAAATGCAGGCCGCGGGATGTTGCAGAAGAAGTGGGCTGGCAAGGAGAGGCAGGTTGCAATGGTAAGTGGGTGTGGGGCACATGGGGAAGCTCCACCCCACCCACCCCCGCCCTAGCTTGATTTTTAGGTGTGCGCCTCGCCCCAAAATTAGGGCTTATTTCTGGAGTAGGGCTTATATTAGGCCCACACCCAAAAATCAAGCTAGGGCTTCTTTTCGAGGTAGGTCTTACTTTTGGGGAAATACGGTATGTCTACATGGAAGGAAGGAAGTAGTGAGATACCACAAGGTTCTGTCCTAGGCCCAGTACTCTTCAGCATCTTCATAAACGACTTAGATGAGGGAATAGAAGGGGAACCTATCAAATTTGCAGATGGCACTAAGCTGGCAGAAATAGGGTCTCCTGCTTGAGTAGGGGGTTGGATTAGATCAGGGCTTTTCAACCGGTGGTATGCGTACCACCTGTGGTACATTAGCACGTGGCAGGTGGTACGTGGCCCTGCCCAGAAAAGTGTAGCGGGTGAGGGAATGAGCCAGCGTAGGCAAGGACTTACTGTGAGAGAATCCTCCAGAGTTGCAGAGTGGCTGGGGCGACGCAAAGGCCCCAGGCTCACTTCTGGCTCACCATCCCCAGATGAGAAAGGAGGAGGAGGGGGGCGGAGACAGGAGAGGCTATAAAAGGAGGCAGTTTGGGCAGGAGAGGGAGGAGGTGAAGGAAAAGAAGAAGGAGGTGGTGGGAGAGGAGAGGAGATCAAGCAGGCTGGCCATGAGCTGATCTACAACTTCTGTGGCAGCAACAAAGAGGCAAGAAATGCAGTGGGGGAAGGGTCACTCTTCAAGAGGAATGAAGAAAGGCAGCAATGAAGAAAGGCAGCATTGGCTGGAGGTGAGGCACGGAGGGAGGGAGATGGAGAGTGGAAGGATTCTTTTGTGCTTTTGTGACTTTGAAGTTCTGGGATTTGTGCAATGTGGGCTTTGTGTTCTTAAGGAGTGTTTGGCAACTTCTATTTGGCTGATGCCTGATGTCTCCTGTTAGCGTCTATTACTCTGCTATTGTTAGCTGTAAGTTTTGCTGCAAGGGATTTTGAAGTATTTTTCTCCTGAATGGATTTTGCCTGTAGCATTCCTTTACTTATGAATGGAGCCATTTGAGGAGGCTGCCTTAGCGGCAGCCAGTACTTATTTACATTTTTTTTTCTTCCTTAAGTACCAGCTGGGCTCCTTAACTTTCCTTTCTAGCCAGTAGCTAATTCTTAAAGGGGAATGCGCCTTTTTATGCTAGTTCCCTCAATGGCTTGTCTTTTCTGTCTCTGGAGGCTTTTCCTTGTTTGATGAATATATGGGAGAGGGAAAATATGGGGGGGGGGTGTTCAAATTCTTCCTTCAGAAGAAGATGGGCATGAGAAAGATGGAGGCAGGGAAGGAGGGAGGGAGGGAAGGAAGTCCTGCCTTAGCACTTGGCCACCAGCAGCCCTGCCATTGACTTTGTTTGTCAAAAGGTTGCAAAAGGGAATCACATAACCCTGGGATGCTGTGACCATCATAAATATGAATCAGTTGCCAAGCATCCAAATATAAATCACATGACCCTGGGCATGCTGCAATGGTCATAAGTGTGAAAAATGGTCATAAGTCATTTCAGTGCAATTACAACTTTGAACAAGTTTTTGAAACCTTACTAAGTGGTACTCAAATATTGCCATATCCTAAAAGTGGTACAGTCGGTGAAAAGTTTGAAAAGCACTGGATTAGATGACCTACAAGTTCCCTTCCAACTCTATTATTCTAATTCTAATTCCTTTTCTTCTTTAGCTATAAGATGGTGGATTCCTGTGGGAATTGGGGTTCCCACAATCTTGGGAGCTGGGATTCTCTTTGTGAACTGTAAGTGAAAACACATCCACTGACACCCCCCCACCCCACCCTGTGTCTTTCTGCATTGACTGAGCTGGTCTGGATGGCAGACCCTTTCCTGAGAATTTCACCCAGGATCCCCACAAGGCCCTTCCCCACAAACAATGTTTGGAACAGGAGTCAGAAAGGAAGAAGAAGCTAGGCAGCCATTTCTGCCATTTCCTGTAAATTCTAAGAAGATTCAACTAGGCAGCCATTTTTGCCATTTCCTGTAAATTCTCAGAAGGTTCATCCTTCCTGTTTGGGAGGGAGCCTCTCTGGCCTCAGCAGACGTCCTTCAGAGGAGCGGATACCAGGAATCGAATAACAATCCCATTCAATGATCTGGGAAGTGCTAGAAAACCCATAATCCTGGCCTGAAAAAAGATCCATCTGCCCTCTGACCTGGCAGGAGGGACCTTAAGAGAAGCTTTGATGGCAAGTGGGAGGCAGAGGAAGGGGAGGGGGACCCCTGTCTTCTGCCCCTGCTTGCAATCACCCCTGGGGACAGATAAACACAGGGTTGAAGGTCCTGAAGTGAACGGAGCCACTGCTTCCTTTGCGCCTACTTGGAACAAGAGATGTGGCAGGGAAAGTGAATGTGAGAAGAGTCTCCTCATTTGACCTTCACCACGTGCAGCTCCATGTAGCTTTCTCAGCCATGAGGTGGACATGCTTTACCATTTCCTTCTCCCAGGATTGGCCTTTTGACTTGCTGGCCAATTGCCTTGCTTTTCTAAGAGCCCTGGTGGTGCAGTGGTTAGAGTGCGGTACTGCAGGGCTACTTCTGCTAATTGCCGGCTGCCAGCCGTTCGGCAGTTTGATTCTCACCGGCTCAAGGTTGAGCCATCCATCCTTTCGAAGTCGGTAAAATGAGGACCCAGATTGTTGGGGGCAATAGGCTGACTGTGTAAACCACTTAGAGAGAGGGCTGCAAAGCACTGTGAAGCAGTATATAAGTCTAAGTGCTATTGCTAATCCAGTCAGACCCAGGCTGGCCTTTTAAGAACAGTCAAGGTTGCTAGTTCTTAGATCTGACTAAGTTGGGATGAGGTCTTTGGACTAAAAATCGAGGGAAATGTTCTGAGAATTGGATTAAGGCTACCATGTCCAGGAAATAATGGGGAATACCATCTGTCCTGTACCAGTAACAGGATTCCCAGAGTTTAGCATTATCATTTAAAAGTGTCTGATGATAATGATTTAGTACCACGGCCTGTTGGGAACAACTCTCCTGGCCAGCTTTGAATGGCTACTGTGGTGGTGGAAAAACAGGACTGTGAGGTCCCACAGGACAGCAGCCCCCAATCTTTGTGGCTTGGCTGCTCTGCTTGCGGGGGAGAGAGGGGAGCACAAGTGGCAGCCCAGTGCTCATTTGCGTGCACACACAGCTCCACTCTCACAAGAGAGAAGAGAAGTCTTTAGTGCGTGTTTTGAAGCAGCGTGAGATCGCTTCCACCCCCAAGCCTTTCATCCATTTGCAAAAGCTTTGGGTATGGAGAAGCCTTGGTGGGCATGGTCTCATGCTCCTTCAGACTCACCGAGGCTGCCCTGCGCTCCAAAAATGGATCAGGTGTCCTGCACAGGCAGCCTCGGAGAGTCAGATAAGCTGAGTGGGGCTCACGTATACCACTCGGCCTCTAATCTCATTGCTCCCCTTCTGGAGCACTGGGTGCTGGCAGGGGACGGAGGTGGAGAAAGGGGAACCGGGCCACATGAGATCCACTCACACAAGAGAGAAGAGAAGTGTCTGGGGCACCACTCGTGCAAGTGGAGCTGTGCAGGTTGCTGGGCATGCACACCGGCCCACGTATCACAGGGCCCGGTTCTGAATACGCCGTGGCCCGGTAGTGGGTTGCAGCCCAGAGGTTGGGGACCCCCGTCATAGGATGTCTAATAGGGAACAAGGTTTCAAGTTGATTATTTCTCAATACCCCCCAAGAATTTTTCTTTTCATCTCCCCATGTTCAGCACCTCTTGACAGCCAACAGTTTTGCTTGTCCATAA